TTCGATGTGTTCGCATCCGCCATTTTGTTTGGACGTTTCTGGACACCTTACCTGGAAACCTGGGAACGATGTTTGTTTGTTATTTAGTTCCCAGGACCTTCTCCGAGTAACTTCACTACATTTCTTGCTCCTTCTTCAGAATATTTTTTGGTTTTGGGTATTAAACTCTGGATGAATTTTGGTTAAGAACTTTTTATACTAGAATGAGGAGAACAATCCAATGCAAAAGCTATATCCTCCCCGGCCCCGTAGACGTCCTTTGGGGTTCCGAGTCGTTTGTCACGCATTCATTTCACTAGGAACAAGCTGGGAAGAGGGTGTTTACAACAACCTGTACTCTGCACAATTTGTCAGGTGTTACACAGATTTTGGCCATAACCAAATTTAATCCGGTGCAAAGTTTTGGGCAACCTTTTACCCGATCCTTAAACAAATAAGATTCAACACACAAGATTATCTTTCATCAAAATTTTATTGGATATATTTGTAAAGTTTCAAATCAACTTGGGGACAAAGTGGATAGGACAAAATCGAGGAGTGCATTGTAGCCATAAGATGAGACTCACATTTAATCAAGGTTGATGCAAGGCAACTTAATATGGCAGTTTATTTCGGCTCCTGTTTTAGTATCGAAAGGCACAAACAGAAGCCTTGACACAGGTAATGAGCCATACTTGACTATAGCCAAAAGAAACAGAGGCAGGCCCCAGCTTCAAGACGGTGACCTGAAAGAATTTCCCAACCATGGGCTGGGATTTGCATTTTAAAGACAATTGACAATGAGACTGGGCCTACCCTACAAGCAGAGGTTTCTTTCTTGCATGGCTTTTAGCATTCGTAAAGTTGTATGCATGACTACAACAACTGACAAATGTCACTAATGACGTTGTAAATGCTAAAAGCCATGCCAGAAAGAAACCTCTGCTTACAGTGTAGACTGCACCCAATGCTACTTTTCATGTGAAGTTGTGATAAATGACTCTTTCCTAGACCAAGTTATGACATGATGAGTTGCTTTCAAATTTTGTAGGGGGCAAGGCTGTTACCATTCAAATGAAATCTCTTTGGCAGAACTTCTGCATGGTACTATTTAAATCTTAGGATTTAACAAAAATAAATGTATTAATTGTATTCTTTTGTGAATTTTTCTTTGGGTGCTATGAGAACATGCTTGATTTCTGCCATACCCCAAGCCCCAGGTGTTAATCAAGCCTCCTATTAGTCAAGTGAAAAAGGGTAAAATAATAATACTCATATCAATATTGTATTTGGAAGCAAAAGAGTCTACACAATAAGATTGGTTTTGTATTCAATTTTATTAAATACAAAAAGGTTGTTTAGGGTCAATAAGTTTAGAAATTTCCTGGTATTAAAAACAGTCTATGATTCCTGAAGTTTGCTCTTGACATTGTTAGCACTCCACCAGATCAACAAAGCTGCAACAACTGCAATAAACTCTGTCTGCACATAAAGACCTTCACGTCCAGCTCCCTGGAAATTAGATTGCAAATATCCACAGTTCTATTAATTTTGTTCATTACACATCTGTTATTAAAATTATTAGTTCTTAATTCGGGAGGGCATGTGGGTTCATTCCACCAACAGTGGCTGGTAATCAAGCCTAAAAATACAAACCAAACATATGCAAAACGAGAAAAACTAGAAGCTAACACTTTTTCGTCTACCCAAAGATTTTCAGAACTTCTTAGAGGATTTCAAGTATAATCATGATTGCTATCATGGTAGCGATTATGTTCATCACAAGTCTTTGGGTAGTAATGTTATTTGAACATAAACAAGACAATCTGATAATAAGTTAAATAAAATTACTTCCTTTGTTGATCTCTGAGAAAAATCTGTTAAGTTCCCTGGAAACATATCTCTTGGATTTTAAACTTTCTTACTTTCTGTTTTTTTGGGTTTTTTTTATCTCAGTGGGGGCTCAGGGACTGGTGTTGCTCACCTTATGATTAACATCAATTGTAAATAAAGGCTTTGCCTCACTAACTGTCCCACTTCTTTGTGCCTAGAGAGAGGCAACAATAATTTTGTGTTACACGTACATGTAATAATCATACAGTTAAGCCTTTCTAACTTGCACATGAGTAAATTTAAGGTCTCTGCTGTTGAGTCCTAGTGGTCAGACAGTTTTTAGTATATTTTGTAATCACCAACTCTCATTGGATTGACAGATTAATATACAAGTCATCATACACTGGACTCAATCTTCCAAAGCCATGGCCTAGGAAAACAACTGATATTTCATGAAGCTACCACTGGTTTCCCTGGGAAATGGCATCTTATTGCAGAGAGTGTCACTACCCAGATCTGGATAGTAATTCTGATTGGTTAAAGCAAATTTCCCTCGTGGCACAACCAATCAAAAGTACCACCCAGATCTGGGTAGTGACACATTATCAGCATGAAATTTCTGCACTTATTCTTCAGAAATCATTTTGTGGACAAGCTATTGGCGGCATTGCAAAATGTGCGCTTTTTTATATTTTTGTTTTTCAGGCTGACAAAGCCAATCAACAATACTGTTAGTTTTTTTTTTTTATCATTTTATTTTGCATGAGTTACAATACTGGGAGATAAACACCATCAAAGGAAAGTACAGCTGCCCAGAAAGGTTTATCAACTGCCACGGTAATTTAAGTATTTATTATTATGGCCTACAATCTCCATCAAGCTGACTAGCAACTCCAAATTTAAAAATGACCTCTGAATTTTACAATAAAACAATTGGTTAAAACTACACTAAGCAGAACACTTAACTACGTGGCTTACAATAATATTATTGTGAGTACTCAGCACAAGTATCTTTTATTTACTGTATCAATGTAACAACGATATTATAAGCAACAATCAAGATACCTTTCTGAAAGCAGCAAATCCTTCATCATCATAGAAGTTTACAGAGTACACACCAGCTTTGGCTTCTTTGTGTGTTTCTGCCCAGCTGACCTTCAGAGAAAACCAAAAAAGACATGTATTACAAGCAATACAGACAAATCAAAATGCCAGAATAGAAGATATGACCATTCCAAAGACACATCAGGATGCTAACAGTGTAATCATGAGTAAATTCTCAGGGTAGCTGATTCACATTCATCACACAAGTCTTTGGATGGTTGTACAGTATTTCACGTGTTAGACTATAGAGCCTCTGTATGGGTACCTGGGGTGGTAATTTTCATTGGTGTTTTCCATCAAATTGTCAGTTTTACAGTGAAATCAACGAGAATTCTTTTACATGGTAACGCTACTAGTGAGCTCAAGCAGACATAATGACGGTGAAGGAAATGAGAAAATAAAAAAGCATTCGTCTAATGAGCAACAAAAACTCCGAACATGTAGCAAACTTGTTGCCAGATCTCTTTGCTATCATCACACAACTGACGTTGTCAAACTTGATTCAAATGGCAGTGTGATTGTCGGTCTAACCTCGACGATTATCTATTCATTAATAGTGATGTTGCGAATTTGATTTTGTGGGAAATAACCATGAAGACTTTCACAGTAGCGTGTGGAGACTAACCTGATACTTGGCATCGTCTGAGGAAATGGTAACGGGCATGACTTTTCCATTAACTTCGGCATACAAGTTCACATTCTGGGATAAAAGCAGTAGTCAATGTTATTGTCTAGAATGGATAACGGTATTTCATCACGAGTCATTATTTCATTCATTTTTAAACTAACACTTTTTTCAACAAAAGTATGCCACACGCAAACTTTTGATCCATGAGGAATCAACCACCGTCCATGTCTTCATTGTACTACATTCAAACCCTGCTTTATGGACACCCACCTAATATGGACATTTCATTACTATGGACAGTTTGGTTAGCCATGGGGAAAGAAAGCCCTTACGTTTTCTCTAAATTCAACCCACTTAATAAGGTCACCCCACTAATACGGACACTTTCCAAGGCTGTGCTCTAAAGAAAATTGAAGGGAGCCTAGTGTTCTGAACCTGTAAAACCTAGGGTGCCCAACATATGATCGGTATAAAAGATCTTTGATGGACACCTCATTACTATGGACAGTTTGGTTTCAGGGCTGCCAACCCCCCCACAGCATCAAATATTGAGAATTGATAGGGAAGAAATGATAGATGACATCGTATCGCACGACAAATGAAGTCATTTGTGCAAAAAATGTTCGTTGATTCCAATCGATATATACATAGCACATAAACAGTTCATATTTAGCCACATTATTGCTTAAATTACAGTGCATACCCAAATTTATGGGGAAACGTTCCATGTTAACAGTAGCTCAAACAACGGAAAATATTTGAAATTTTATGGTCGGAAAGTGGAGTCTACAAGAAATATCAACTTCGGTGATTATCCAGGAGATCTCAGACTCTAATTTGGAGACCGGGAGAGTTGACAGCACTGGGTTTGTCCCTGGGGAAAGAAAGCCCTTACATTTTCTCTAAATTCAACCCACTTAACACCGTCATCCGTTGACACTGACACTTTCTATAACCCCCTCAGAGACCATATTAAAGAGCTTTGACTGTATTTCCAGAAGAGCTGTCTGTCTTGGTTGTTGCATACTACAATCACAATGCATTTATTTCCTATATATTTTCTATTTCTATACCTTTGCATTATTGTCACATTTGAGGGAAAATTCAACGATAAATACACTTTCTGTGGAGAGTAAGATATTCCTTGTAGAGTAGATTTCAGGAGTTGGTTTTGCTCCAACACAAGTATCACCTAAACAAGATAAAAATACAGAATGTACTGATCAGCATAGTGCATTTTAAATTCCCATATTTCTTGTCGAGGAATTAACCAGGTTTAGAGGAGTTATAGTGTTAGAACGCACTAAAAATAATATTTTCTTAGGAAAATTGTTCTATGTGCTGGGGACCAATAACGGAGTGCCTCGTGGAGTTAAACAAAAGGAGGAGAAAATTCTCATTTACTCAACAAAACTGAAATTCTGTTAAGACTCTTTGGGTGATTAAAAACTTGAACTAATTGTTTCCGTAAATCATGGCTTACCGAGCGAATTCAACGGCGCAAAAAGCCCTAAAACCAACAGAACAATAATGGAAGCCGCCATGATCCTTCCTTCGACGCTCAAAGAGAAAGAACGTGGGTGATCACGTGGTATTCAGCCCCAGTACCTCACGAAAAAAGTATTGAGCCGGAAAACAACTAGCCAGCGGATAATTTCGAACATGAAGGTAAAGCGAGTGAAACATGCGAGAAAATACTTAACTTTATTCAAGAATTCCTTTGGAATATTCGAACCATACCAAATATTAGGTAAGCAGATAGATTAAGCATTATTTATTCTACGATTCGTCTCAATTTGAAGTCATTTGTGCCTTTGCCCTTTTTGCAATCGTGAAAAGTATATTGCCACATGGTCTCACTTGCTACTGTGTTGAATTCTGCAGTTGATGGTACATTCTGCCAAGCAGCCTTACAGACTAAAATAAATATCAAGGAACAGCTTCCAAAATACCTTGATGGGACCATTCAGTTATGTATCCTTTCCCACTATATTTTTGAATGTAAGACTTAAAGTTAAGGGAAGCTATTAAATCAGCTGATAAGTACATGACTGTATTTGATGAAGTACAGTGAAAGGTTTTAACCCAGGATTTATGTCATAAAATAGGTGGAATATGATCGTCCGAGTGAGTGCAGTCCTGAATAGGACTGTCGATGACAGTCACTGATGTTTTGACAACTGTGCGCAGGTCTTAAAAAAATGTAATGGCTGGCGTCGGTCAAGTTGTCTGGTGAAACCTATTTTTGCTTGGACGCAACTCATTTTTGGCCAGACAATTACAAATATTTATTGTGACATATCTCAATAAAACTAAATTTTTGTTCCATTAGAAGCATAAAGGACTGGACAAAGTATCTGGTCATCCAAGGATTTGATGGTACAAAGCTTACTTTTGACCGGACATTGTCTGTTGACCGGCTGTTATTTCAAGCCCTGGTGTGGTATTCAACTTTCAGAGCCAAAGTGAGTTGTATCACGTCAGTTGATGGTATTAAACTCTGGTTATTGACCTGATTGGTCAATTGGTCAGTTAACTGGCATTGTTATCGGTTGTCTGTCAGTTACACCGTAAGCCTTGATGTTATTGGTGATGTAGACTATAAAAACAAATACGCAATGAACTCTAAGCGAAAAGAAAATGGTGATCACTACAAGGTTAGTGAGAGTATTGTAGCTGATGGCATTGTGGGCTAACTGACCAAGGACAACAGTGTAGAACTCAAAAACATCATGTCTGGTCATTTGGAACAGGTACATGTATTTTTGTTGCTGGGCAAGTATAAAACTTTAAATGTTTCCTTTGTCATATTGGGTAGTTGGAACTTAATCACCAAGACAGGCATGCAATTTAAGCTGGAATTCAAGTTTTCAAGATCTGCAACAATGTACAGGCTAAACGTAAGCTTCCAATAGTCCTCACTGGTCATAAAGCGCATTTCTATGCAGACTGTCAAAAGAACACCCACTGTGAAAACAACACATCTTCTGAACACTGTTAGATTAGTATTACAACTTTGTCTTATGGACCTGAATGCTCATGTGTATGGGATTTATTGAGATAAAAGTTACTTAACGAATTATAAGCAACAACAAGATGCGTGATAGCTGAAGGAGAAGCTCTTGGCCCTCAGCTTTCTGGAGCTGTGCTTATTGCAAAGAGATTTCATTTACGAAATTGTGGTCATCATAAAGCTGCTGTCCCAGCTACAGAATGTATTAAAAGTATGATAGGTAAATATGACTCTGAATTTTTTTTGTGAATGTGTACATTAACATTTCTGCTTCTCTCCAATAATATTGCTTTAAACCAATCTTTTCCCTGCCAGTGGAGGTCCCTCATGGCAAGAGAAAAATGATACGAAAGAGAGAGACCTATACTCGGCTTAAATGCATTTTCTGTCGTGCATGCACTTGCATTTCCTTAACAACCAGTAATGTATTAGTCACGTGCAACACAACTTGCATGACTCGCTTGCACATTATCAACTGTGGGTTTAGAAATTTCCAGCGTGAAGTCTTAACAGAGCAAGCACATTCCACATCAAATGAAACCAATTTTGAAAACCAGTAAGTTTTGACCACAAACGTGGTCAATGGCTACATGAAAGAATGTGTCCGGGGGCAGTAGTGATCTCTCTCTTTCCTCTTCTTCTTCTTCTTCTCTTGCTGTGAGACACCACTGCTAACAGGGAATCCAGTCTGTCATGGTGGTGGAGTCAGCAGCTATTCACACATTGGTCCGATTTGAGGTCCTGTTTTCTCTTTTTTAAAGGAACTGAGAATCCAAATGGTTACTTTGTTGCATCACAAGACAGAGATCTAAGACAACATTTGCAAACAGTTCCAGGTACATATTGTGTAGCTCTTTTCTCTTCCTGCTACTCTGTATAGTCAAGTGGAAGCCAAAAGGGAATTCAAGCTGAAGTTTGAACCATCTAAGTCTGTCTCTCTTAAGGTTTTTTTTTGCCAAAAAATGTAAACTCCTGAATTTCATTAAAATACCTGGGAGGATCTAGGATTATTACAAAAGGGTTTAAGTAAGGGACCAGCTCCCTTAGAAAATAGGTGCAGTTTCCAGTGAGATCAAAGTGTTTGCTGAAAGTGAAGGGAATTTTGGTCATTTGAAAAAAATTTTTACTAGTTTCTTTTGTAATAGCTGTAGGTTTTAGATATTACAGCTTCAGCATGAGGGGTTTGTCGACTTTCCCCAGCCACCCTGCCAAGCCACCTTTAGATCTGCCCCAGATAATGAAAGCAGTGATAAGGAGGTTCATCCATACTGGAGAGCTGTTTCATTGGTGGTGCTTTCATGATACTGAAGGTTATTTTGTCGTAAATTGTAGACTCAAAAAGACTCTTTTGCAAACAGTACAGCAAAACACACAGTGCTACAAGAAAGGGCACCTTTTGTGGGTATGGTGAGAGCTGTGATAGCCATCATGCCACCATGCCTTCACATTCTTTTTGTATCCATGATTAATGTATTCCTTTTGTAGGGGTGCCTCTTCTTTTCATCAATCACAACACCATACTCTTAGAGAAGCCTTCATCTGCATCTTGCCAAGCCTCAGATAAGGTGTGTTATGTGTCAGAAATAAGGCATTTGCATGATCAGGGCTGTCAATAAGGGCCGGCAGCGGGCCAAAACCCCTGGCTAGTTAGCCACCCTTAGCCTTAGCCTCTTGAAAACCCCTGGAAGTGGCATTTCCAAGACTCTAAATTTAAATTTGTCCCTAGATGCCTCAGCCCTAGGAAACTTGTGCCTTTGGTGCTAGTTGAACCAATTTAAGCTGCCTACTATTCATTATCAGCCTGCTACTTAAATACTTTTTGACAGCCCTGCATGATGAGATGATTTTACCACTACGACCAGAATCCTTTACGTTCTTTCTTTCATGTTCGAATTTGGTAATCCCAGCAAGGTAAATAACAAAAGTTCTAATTTGCACCAAAAGAGCCATACCCTGAAGGATTCTGGCCATAATAGTGAAATGATGTCATCGTGTCAATGACCTATTGTCCTAACTAGTGCACAAGAACATTATGAATACATCCCTATTGTGGGTATGAAGGATGGGTAAGTCTTTAAGTCCCAAGAGTGATCAACATCAATTTTCTCCTAACAAAATCAATACACAATCAAGAGATTAGGTTATAAGAATCACAGGGGACCCAAGCTCGAAATATGAGCTTCGGCGAACATCGGCATTGTTGCGTAACATTCGAAATATAAGGATTTGTATGGGAAAAAACCTATCATTTCTGTAGCCTACGAAAATGAAAGGATTTCAATAAAAAACAGCTTACCTAACTTAAAATGTGTGTTACGTCTCTCCTGTGTGGTCCACGGGCCGATTTATGGCCGTTTTATGGGACGGGTTTTTATGAAAACGGTTTTCTCTCTATATAATGTTCGCCGATGCTTATATTTCGAGCTTGGGCTACCTGTGTGAGATTAAACAAAATCATCACCAAAGGGAATTTCAAAATGCTTTGGTTTTTTTTATCACATTCTCGTAACTAGTTCTTTGAAGAAATGCGTGGAGGTCAGTCTGGGAAATGGTGGTGTATATCTGAATAATCGTGGACCATAAATCCTGACCATCCCAAAGGAACAAATCTATAGTTGACTGAGTGACTGATTACCATTTCTGTTACTTATACTATTTGTTCATTCTTTTTTAGGTTCAGATTTCCCGTCTGGAGCCCTCTAAACACGAAAAAGAAACTCTCGAAAAACTGAGCGAACCCTCAACAGAGCTAAAACCAAGGCGAAAGCGTAAACGGCCTGGAGGACCTAATCCTCTGTCAGTTCTCAAAAGCAAGAAAAGAAAAGATGATAGACATAAGGGTTCCGAGGATATCAAGGTAACTAGAAGTTATTTATGTTCACAGCACTCCTGCAGGGGCTTTGCTCTCGAGGTTATGAAACAGCGGAAAGTGAAAACGCTCTCCAACTAACAACTTTTATGTTTACTCCGAGGATTGCTCAGTTTTTTTGACTGGCTTTAGGCATTAGGGGAAAACGCAGACTGTTACTAACAGATGCATCTCGTATATGCCGAATGCCTGCTTGGAAATGCTTACAACTTTCCCCGTGGTTAGTTGCTGTGCGCATTTTTTCCTGCACGTGGGCCGGCATGTATTTGCGCTCACTCGTACTAACGCTTGCACCGATTTCGTGCGCTTGTTCCCATCACTTAGCAACGGTTGCATGGTAACCGTTCATGTTCGTCGTGCTTTGCATTGGTTACATTGTTTTCCCGCCCTTTTTGTGGCTTATGGTTCAAGCAAACTTTCTCGCCCTTTTGCACGCTTTGCACCGACTGCATACTTCACTGCACCTGGTTGCTCAGTCTATCTGATCCAGACCCAATTCTTTTTCTCATAGAAAAAGCGAATTCGTAAAAGAAAACGAAAAGTGGCGAGGCACGTACTGGAGGCTATTCAAGATCACACCGCAACAACATCATGAAGACGACAAAAAACAACAGTCTTTGAATTGAACTCTGACTTTTCTCATTGCAGAAAAATGGTTAACACTTCAAGAATTTTAAGTGCATCGCTTATTATTTAATACCAGCAATGCCGAAGATGTTTGTAGTTTCTGATCTCTTCCAACAGAACATAGCAGTATAAGTTCTTTTCGATTCATTCGTATTTCCCGGTACAATATGAACACCTATCCGATGTGAATCTCCACTTTAGAGAGCGGCGTGGCTTGGCTTCGCTCTGTTACAGAAATCGCCCCGGAAATGAGCACTGTTCGTATGTGTGAACAGAATTTCTATCCGGTATGGTTTTCGTGCCGGCGCGAGAGCTATCCGGTATCGAAGTGTGAACAAAGTCTTTGTTGAAAACCTTTTTAACGCTTGTCAAATTAGGTCAATATTTCTTTGCGAGAGATGTCTTTTTAATAGTGAGGCTAATCAATAAAATAGAACTCATATTGCTTTTAAATCACACGGGGCCACTATTTATTAATTAAACTGCCGATATTACAGGGTGATATTAATGTTGCCGTAGGCCACTTCTTTCAGGAACTTTGAAAGTTTCGAAGAGTTTCTCGCTTAAAACACGTTAGGTTGTTTGTCGCTGCCCAAGAAAGTCTTAACTTACAAAGACTTTCCATGAACGTGCGTGACTTCAAATTTCCACAATGCAGGGTTTATTCTTGACGTAGATTTCACCCGCAATTTTCATTTTTATCATTTAACTTTAAAGAGAACACCGACTACAACGCGGAAATGCACGTACACAGGAAAACATGATAAGTATTCGCATTACTTTTCAAGACAAGGAACTTTGAGATGAATTCAGTAATCCATCTGATGAAAGCTTTGCAACAAAGTTTTCTATGTGTTACGCGCTTAGAAAGGGCAGACGTTTTTGTATAGTATTAAACAGTTATTTAATAAACTGCCGTTTATTCTTTTTTATTACTGGATTTTTGGCTAAAGAAAATCTCATTTATGGCTGAGGATTTGACATCCTTATTTTGAACAACTTAAGGCTAAAAATGTTTCTGTGGTATTTGAAAGTTCCGTGTAGTTTTATTTATAGAAAGAGATTGCGTGCCGTGGAGAGTATAAGAGTGTAATTCGCCGATATACGGCATTTCTAGAATAGTTAAAATATCCACTTTGTTAATGTTTTGAGCAATCTGCATGTGGCCAATCTCATCCTCAATGTTCTTGAACCAAAAATAAGGAAAGATGAATGTTGACTTGATAGAAATCTACGATTAGATCATACGCGGCATAAACTAACTGATAGGCATCCTACATCTTGCATCACTCAGGGAAGAAAATGAATTTACCTTGTAAAAAAATAATTATGTATGAAAATCGAATGTCGTGATCGAAAGGAAGAAATTCCATGAGGCATATTTTGAAAGAGGTGAATCAAGTCTCTCTTTTTTTTCCCTTTTTCTTTACAGTTTTCAAATAATCACTTAGAAGAGGCAATCTTTTTTTTTTCTTTTGCGAGAGAAACGAACTGCTCTTATTACTGAATTTTATACTGTTCCTTGCGTCGAATCTCTAATTTCTTGAAAGATACTTAATTTGGCGACACTTAAGATCTGGAGTAAAAACAAATCTCGGCAATATTTGATGTTTCCCTTCTGTTGATAGTAAAGTTAATTGTCTGCCGGGTGTTTGTCAACATGGAGATGTTCGCTTTTGCCTGAAAACACAGAAA